TTAGGTACCAAGACAACCTAGAAAATAATTTAAAGTCTATCGGAATTGGAGCATGGAGAAGAGTTGCCAGAGACAGGGGCGAATGGCGGATTGTTCTGAAGAAGGCTTTGGCTCATAAAGAGCTGTAACGCCACTGATGATGATAAAAATGTTTAACTAGAGCTGTCGTTAGGATTGTGATAGTGCGTTGGAGTTGGCTTTGGATTGTGATGGTCCGCGACCTCGCATTATCTGCATATCTTTCTCCAGCAACCACGTCTTAATTTGATCTTTATTGACGGCTTGTGTCGGAATCACTTCTTCTCTCCTCGAATGGTACGAAGCGTTGTCCATCACCACACCAGTTTTCTATGGAAGATTAGGAAGCAGCTTTTCCTTAAATAATTGATCAAATATAGTACCATCCATCTCATCATGATAGTCTGCTAAGTTTTTTTAGCTAAAAACCAAAAAACAGCACCTTCTATAAAGCTCAATTCGCTACCTCCATGCACTATAACAAATCGGGGCGTCGGCTGTTTTAGGCCTGTTGACAACCCCTTAATAAACGCATTCCTGGTTGCAGTCACTGATACGCCCTTCCATTTTTTGAAAATACTATGTCCAACATTCACCCAAGTTTTGTCCAAATAAACGAAGGTGTATCCTTGAGAACGAAATTTTTTTATCTCAAGCAAATACTGATGCCTCCATTTTAGAATATCAGGCCGTTCAATCATGCTTAACTTTACTCCTTGTTTGCAAAAAAACAAAGTTTATTTTATGGAGTATTCTCTACATTATTGTGCGTGACATGTTTGCTAAATCTGTGTCTTTTTTAACCAGTGCAAAAACTTTGTTCAATGTCGGCGGTAAATTTTTAAAGAAAAACTATGCACGATGGGCACGCGTATGAACTGCTGCATTCTAAGTGAACTTTCTGCTGTTCACTCTACTTTTGGTACGTTTTTCTGTTTTTTTATGGGCCTTAGTCCTCCTTCCACAGCTTCTTTGCGTATTTTAGAAATAGTACTAAAACTTACTCTCATAATAGCACTTACTTTATCGGTTAAACTTCTAATACATTCAGCACTTCTGAAGTTTAGATGATAATTAAATACATTTAAAACAATTTGTTTTGCACGGATGTCCAAGATATTCCCTAGCTTAATTTTTGAATAATACAAATATATTATCAAAAAAATGTAGATAATTGCGTATTTTAAAATATGTATTTAATCTTGTTTATAGCATTTATATAGTTGAAAATTAACAAACTAGGTACTTGAAATTTAGAAATGAACTTGTTTATTTTCGATTTATTGTCTTCATAAATATCGGTTTTGTTTATTTTGACAATTATTTGAATTTAAATGACATAGAAATCCGAAGAACCATTATAAATTAATATGTTTTAAAAATTGTTTGTACAATTACACAGGGTAGCAAAAGAAATAACCGATTCAAATTTCAATTAACTTGAAACAGAAAGAGGTAAATCAATTAACAATGTGTTAATGCAACTGCATGTTGATATAATATATCTCCATCGTATGGCTCTACAACCCAAGTAGAGCCTCGGCCTCCCCCAGCAAACCTGTACATTAATTACGGGTATTCCACGATCGGGAGGATCTGATAAGAATATTTCTTGCATCCTTATCCATATAATCCGCTTATCGCTTTCTTTGTGTCCAAATAGATAATTTCCTTCTCTGAATTATTGCATTCAACAGTTTTTGTGAAAGCCTGTTTTCTTCCATTCTAAATACGTAGTTGTCCATGGAATATGCTTTAGTCTAATACATTGAGGTAAAGGTGGTTTTATATAATATATATATATATATATATATATTATATATTATATATATATATATATATATATATATTATACAGTCCATTCATAAAGTGTGGAAACGGTAGAACTATCTCATAATTTAATTATTTTCAGAGTTAAAGCTCTGTAAGGTCGATTTTTATTTTTTAACCTTCTTGAATAAAAAAACTTTTACTCCCACTACCTTAGCAGATGTGACGTCATCAATAATTTTATTAAATAGAAAGGGCATATTTTTATATAAAAAATTAAAAGCTCATGTTTTTCTAAGTACAACCGTACCAAACTCATCACATTCAAACTTCAGTATACAGGGTGTAGACGAAACCAGTACTCGTATGTCTTAAAATTTATTTCAAAATTTATTTTACAAATAAAATGATTAAAGAAGTCATTTCATATTAAAGATAAATAAATAACATAATTACAACAGATGCTAGAATTTAGCTCCTTGATTTAATTGACAATATCCACGACGTCCAATGAATTTTTGGGTTATGTTTGACAACATTACTGGTGTAATTTATTGCATTTCAGTACGAATTCTGTTTAAGGTCTACCAAATTGGTAGTTCGGTTTACCTACAGCTTATTTTTTAAATAAACTCAAATAGAAAAGTCCGTGGGATTTAAACCTGGCGACCTAGTAGGCCATTTAATGTGGCCACGCTGTCCAATCCAGGGATTGGAAAAAGTTGCATTTAGTAAATTTCTAACTAGCTACTACAGCATAATGTGGACTTGCTCCTTCCTGATGAAACCAAATGGTTGGATCTGTTTGACCAGGATTATTGATATCTGGAAATGTTCTGGTTAAAAATGGAATAAAGGAGATTTGAGACATCTCTAAATACCTTTCACCCGTCATGATACCGTCAAAAATATGGTCCTACAATGATATTCCTAACAATCCCAGTCCATACATTTACTTTTTGAGATATCGGGTTTAAACTTTCATTGTCCAATTGGGATTTTCTGTTGCCCAATAATGACAATTTTGAGTATTAACGGTACCATTTAAGCAAACAGTTTCAAATCCATTATATCGATTACACAATTCTTGTATATTTTCCCAAAACTCCATGCGTCTATCAAAGTCGTCATTGAGTTCATGTATAAATTTAATTATGTATGGATATAATTTGGTATTTTTAGAATTTTATGAACAGCACCACGGTAGACCTCATTGTTAGTTGATAAAAGTTGTAATGAAGAATGAGGATTTTCTTTAATTTCAAGTAATATATTTAATTGATTGGCGTCGGAAAAAATGGGTTTGCCACTCTTGAGTTTATCTCTAACATTGCCGATATAATTAAATTTATGCAATATTTTTCTCACCGTCGGTTTACTTATTGGTGCTCGATCAGCATATTTTTCATTAAAGATCTTCTATTCGCCGTTTTAATGACAGCATCATCGTAATTTTGAATAATTTCTATTGGGTAATATTTTTTGCAAAAAGATACTACTGCAGACTTCTAAATCGATGTGACACAAATCAGTTTATTATTGACATATCCAATGGTAACTACGAACTTACTGTCTGGTTGCTAAAGAATTTGACATGCCTTTAGAGCCTACTTGATTTTCGAATATACTGAGTACAATCGTTACTATTTTATTTTATTGTATTGATCATCTATAGCCCACTACAAAGCCATTATCATTTAAATGGGGTTGGTTTTTTTAATAGATAAACAATCTACCCTCTGTATCTTACAACAATAAAAATAATGCCATTTGAGCATTTGTTCTAATTATATTATTTGTTTATCTTTAATATTTAATGACTCTTTAATAATTTTCTTTGTAAAATAAATTTTGAATTTCCTTTTAAGAAATACGAGCACTAATTTTCTATACACTCTGTATACTGAAATTTGAATGCGAAGAGTTTGGTACGGTTGTACTCAAAAAAAATATGGACTTTTTATGTTTTAGATAAAAATATGCCTTTTCTATTTAAAAAATGATCGATGACGTCTCATCTGCTAAGGTAGTGGGGGTAAAAGTTTTTTTTTTAAAAGGTTAAAAGCATAAATAAAAACGACCCTCAGAGCTATAACTGTCATAAGATAATAGAACGTTTTCACACTTTATGAACACACTGTATATTTTAAAGTTGCATCTGATTCATCAATTGGTGTTCTTATTTATAGTGCCTGGTACCCTAGTATCTAGTACCCTTCTTCCTTTAAAGATGTCAATGCGGTTTACAGATTTTTGAGTCAAAATTCAACTTTCACATCCATAGCTCACAATCGGTCAGATAATGGTCTTGTAGATTCAATCTTGTGATGACAAGTAAATATAGGTCCGATGTATAAATAATTCTGATTTTCAATTATTGTTTAATTTCATCTAAAAAATGTGTCAAGGTCTTAACGCTAAAAGTTTTAACACTATTTTATAAGTAGCAGTTTATTTTGTATTATTACTTGGAACAGCTTGTCCATTAAAAAATATGTTTTTTAAATATATATTAAATATTTATTACACAAAACTAAGTATCTTAAAAGGGAAAATTCCCATTGATGGCTATGAAAATCAACATTATCATCATTAATCAGCCAATCGCGTCCACTGCTGGACATAGACCTCCCTCAGTTCTTTCCAGTGTTCTCTACACTGGACCGCTCGTAGCCAATTTCCCGCTACACGTTTTATATCATCGGTCCATCTAGTCGATGGTCATCCTCGGCTTCTTTTCTAGTTTCTGGGCCTCCATTTCATAATACGTCTTGTCCACTGTCCATCTTGTATTCTGACTAAGTGTCCTGCCCATTTACACTTACGCGTCGTGGTTCTTTCGGTGATATCTTGAATTCCTGATCTTTGCCTGATTTGTTGGTTTGTTATGTGGTCTGGAAGGCTCACATTCAGCATTGCATTCACGCAGCTATGAAAATACTTTAGTTTAATTTTTTTAAAACTCTTCTGCACTCAACTAAAGTTTTATTAAATCAAATTAAGTGGTTTAAAATGAAATAAAAGACTTAAAAACTTATAAATATTTTAAACATGATTTTATCAAATTCTCTCAATGTTTCTATGCACAGTCAAATTCTCACTCGCATGAGACTTTGACACTCCCTTATAGGTGTTTGATGTGCCAAGAGAGTCATCCGTAGATCTTTTTATCAAAAATTCTGATTGATATTTTACAGCTGGTGCTGTGGTAGGTATACCGATGCAGAAATCTGCTGCCCATCAGGGCAACGTGCAGCACAGCCATCCGACGCTGGGAGGGCGCAAAGGTCAAGGAAGAAGACTGCCTCCGACTCCTTGCAAGCCTTCCACCCTACAGCTTCGGCCGGGGTCCATTAATTTCCCTAAACTCAACGCATCTCCTACACACGTAAGTAACGCAAAATTAATACCTTATAGTTTTCTGTATATATTTTATTGTTCATTTTATATAGTATTTAATAGACAACCATTTTAAGAATATTAATAAAAATTTAAAAATTTCCGCTGTACAATTTCCGCATGTTTCTAAAATATTTTTATAATAAAAAAAAATAAAATTAAAATTAATGGGAAAAAACTCCGTAATTGGCTGTATACCATCGTTTTAAAAAAAATTAATTCTATTACAGTTGTCCCTTGATAATCCGACAGGGACCAAAGGGGTGTCGGATTACGAAAAGTGTCTAGACTACCGCATGTGATGGCACTATTGCCCAAAAAAAAACAGTACTGAAACATAGATGTCCCTTTCTGCGCGATGTCATATTCAAATTAACTAGTATAGCCCTGTCAAGTAATCCTTGAACAATTAATTATTGAGGCCTAATTGTTAAAAATGGTGTTAAGTACAGAGAAGAAAGTGTTTCTTGTGGAGCATTATTTTCGCTCATACGAATCGGCCGACGTAATAGTGCAAATCTGCAATACCTGTGTGATCAATTCACACAACACTTTAATAAACGTTCTCCAAATAATGCTGTAATTTTGAAGGTTGTTGAAAAGTTTAGAAATATGGATAATGTATTGTGCCACCGAAAAGGAAACTCAGGACGTCCCAGGACAGTTAACAACAACGATAACCATGAACGTGTTTTTAAATGAATCTTGAAACATCCGAAAGTCAGCCAGACAAGAACAGCATTGCATCTTGGCTTAAAACTAACTTTCTTGCAAAGAACCCTAAAGGAGCTGGATGCATTTTCGTATGTTATTCAGGTACAACAACGATTAAATTCCAGAGATTATCACAGTAGAGTGGAATACTGTGCCAGAATTCCTACATTAGAGTATGAAAATACTAAATTTTTGAAAAATATATGGTTTTCAGACGAAGCACATTTTCATTGGCCAGGTCATGTAAATCGTCGCACAAATCGACTTCTGGTCTTTGCCAGAACAGATGAAGTTCAAGAAGTTCCTTTACATAGCGTAAAAGTGAGTGTCTTGTGTGCAGTTTCGGAACACGGAACCATTGGTCTATACTCTATCGAAGGAAATGGTAGGCAAGTCACACTTAATCAACAGAGGTACATAAAAATTTGAACACGATTTATCCTATTCTACGTCAATCTACTGATCTACGTCAATTGTGTCATGCACTTTGGCAGTTCAAGACCAATTTTTCCAGCAGGATGGAGCAACTTGCCCCATCCTGCCTGAAAAAAAAAAACAACTGCTGCAATTTCCATCAGGATCACAAACCAGAATTTACGAGATTTCTGGAATATTGGTATGAAGTCTGTCTTGAGAGAGGAGGAGCTCATTTAGGGCATGTTATAAAGTGGAAATAATATGTATTGTTTAAAACAATAAAACAATTACAAATTCAGTACTGTTTATTTTGGGCTATATTGTATTTCGCATTGTTTCGCTAGCACTAGCCTACAATATTCTTAAATTTTTTAAGCAAAATGCTATCCAAATTAATATGCAAATTTAATACCCACTTCGGCTAGCTAAAATATGTTTATTAGAAGAAATATGGAAGTTAATAAATTTAGTGTACATAATAGTGTAAAATAAAAACTTATCTACCTTATACGTAGTAATAAGTAAATGCCACAACTAAGGTAGATTAATTATGGACGTATGTAAATACATGTGTACTACTGTGCTCAACTTTGAAGAAGTATTTGATTATCTTTTGCTTTCTTTTGTTTAGACAGTCTGTCATTGCTTGTTCTTGTATCCCCTTTAATATCAATTTTTTTTCAGTCATTATGCTCTCTCCTCGCACCAACACATCAAAGTATTTGTAGTCAATATAGCATTATCACAGTTGACTGTGAAAGATTTTTCATCCTGTACTTCCTGGATCACGTGTATATCAGATTCTGTCATTTTGAAAATTATTTCTTAATCTGTTAAGTCAACAATGAAATTGTCATCTATAATCCTCTCTTGTAAAGATTCTCTTATTCAGATGAATTAGTCATATCGTTGCAAATCTAAAGGGCAGCATCTAGTACAACTTGCACAGGTTTGTCACTGGATTCTTTGTTAACTTCTATTGGAAGAAGTGGGTTGTTGGTCCAAATAGTCTTCCACCAGGATTTAATCAGTGTAGTAGGCTTGACGCTTTACTTGCTGCTAGGCTAACGTAGCATTGATAACTGCATCTTTGATGTTAAATTTGTTCAAAATTAAAGTGGTGTCAGCATTAGGTTGACTTATAATATCCACTCCTGAAGCATTGTCTAACAAGAGGACAGCTCTTACTGGCAGTTTCTTTTTTCTCAGCTCATCTTTAACTTGTGGGTCAAAGCTGTTCTTGTACCAATCCAGAAAAACTTCTTTTGTCATCCAAGGTTTTGCCAGATGTACGTACTTGGTAGCTTCTAAATTTTAACATTTTTGAAGGCACGAGGTTTTTTGGACTAACCCACGATTAGCAATTTCAATTTGTAAGATCCTGATGCTTTTGCGCAAACCATGAGAGTGAGACATTCTTTCTGGAGTTTTCTACCAAAAACTTTTTTTTTCGCCTAAAGTGACAAATTTCTTTATTAAAAGTTTTCACCAGTTTAGACCGGTTTCATCAGCGTTATAGAGTTGTTCAGGAATTAGGTCTAATTCGGTAATCTTTTTGCTCAAATTCTGAATAAATTCAGATATCTTAGACTCATCTATACTTAACTTTTCTCCACTCATCTGCAAGAATCGTATTTCGCACCGTTTTTTGAAGTTTTTAAATCTACCTTGACTATCACGAAAATCAGTTTTCTTTGTTAATTCCTGATAAAAAATCTAAGCTCTATTTCTTAAAATATCACCTGAAATAGGAGCTTCTCTGCTTTGTTGTTGCTTAAACCAGATGTGCAGAGCTTCGTCAACATCAAGAAATTTAGTCATTTTTAAGGGTTTTTCTGCCCATTCTCTATAGATTTCATAAATTTTTTGATTTTGTCTTTGTTTTTCATAATGTAATACACTGTAGCTCGTCTATAACATCATACAATATAGATATTGCAGTCGGAGTTTCACCACACTAGCATCTCATAATAAAATCATATTTATTTTTTAGAACAAAATGAAAGTTTGGCACTATATTACGTATTACTGTATCTAAAAATTCTATCGAACCGAACTGCTCACGGAAAACACACGAAATAAAGCCTCCGGTAAGAATGAGATTCATGTCTCGATAGGTTTCAGTACAAGCAGATATGGCGATGACCTTGACGGAAGGTGCGTCGGACTAACGACCATGTTAGATTTCAAAACGTCGGAGTATCAAGGGTGTACTGTATTATCTGAATTATGGTTTTATCTATATGTTTTATCTATATAGGATTGGCCTTTATGTAACCGTGCTGGTTCCCCTAAAAAGAGACTTGTAGCTTTTTGTGAGGCTAGTCGTTTACTACAGGTTAAACGTTTGTAAGAGAATATCTGAAGGGCTCACAAATAGGCTCTGTCCCGATCTACCATGACTATGACTACAATATACGTTTGTTAAAAATTATTCTATATTATAGCACTCTAAACAAAATGTTGAGGAATAAAAACTAAAAGGGACAAGAAGCAAAAGATGTAAATAACAAAAGCCGAAATAGAAAAAACCACAAAAGCAACATCAAATATATTTAAGAAGAAATAACAAAAAAATTAAATAAAAATCTTAAGCCAGTGAAAATACTAAAAGAAACATAAACAACTGATAGTATACCATTACTACTCAAATGTTATCAAGCTGAATTTAAAAATAATACGGTGATTAAATGTCTATACTATCCAAATCCTATCAAAATACTTTACTACTTTATTCTATTCAAATATTTTATCGTTGAGCCCATTTCTCTTTAATATAATAATGGACAAAATAATACAAGCAGTACGTAAAGGTCATGACTACAGAATGGGGAACAAATAAATCCAAATATTATGTTATGCAGACGACGCCGCATTAATCGCCGATACAGAAGACGAGCTACAAAGATTAACACATATCTTCAATACAACATCTAAGAAATACAATATGATAATATCAGCAGACAAAACCAAATGTATGACAACATCTAAATACCCACTTCGGTGTAAAATCGAAATTAATGGAAAAATAATAAAGCAGGAAACAAGGTTTAGATATTTGGGAATAGATATAACTAGTTACGGAGATGTTGAAGAAGAAGTACGACAACAAAGCTTAAAAGCAAGTAAAGCGGCGGGTTCTCTTAATGAGACAATCTGGAAGAACAAACACCTAAGACAAGATGCAAAAACAAGAATCTATAAAGCAGCAATTAGACCTATATTAACATACACGGCGGAGACAAAAACTGACATATCTAAAACGAGACGACTGCTAGAAATAACAGAGATGAAAAGACTGCGACGAATATCAGGGAAAAGTTTATTGAATGGGGAGAGAAGCGAAAACGTAATAAGAGCATGCAATATAGATGACATAAATGGATGGGTGACAAAACGAAAACAGGAGTGGAACAACATATCAGTAGAAGGACAGAGGATAGAATAGTACGAATAGCACGAGATACGTCACCAAATGGACGAAGAAGTATTGGCAGACCAAGAAAAAGATGGTGCGACAATTTATGAGGCTAATATTAAAGAAGAAACAGGCTTTAAAGCCTATATACAAGAAGGAAGAAGAAGAAGAAGAAATATTTTATCCAAACATTGATATTTGGATAAAAATGATCGCAATAATATAATGCTGAGGTGCAATATATTATTTTATGTCATACTAATTTATTATTGTGTTTTTATTGCTTAGTTACCAACTACGTGATAGTGTACTTTATGCCCACGCGGGCATAAAGTGTACTTTGTGGCCCGCACGGTCGTAAACATACAAACAAAATGATAACTTATTAGAAACATCTTTATTTAATAGCATTTTAAAACAAAACAAAAAGCATATGACAACATCCCCTTAACAAAATTGTGGACAACGTTGAAAATATCTAACATCAACCATACATTGATAAATGCTGTACAAGAACTATATTATAGAGACTCAAAGGCACAGATAAAAACAGATAAATATCTAACGGAAGATTCCCTGGTTACAAAAGGCTTGCGACAGGGATGCTGTATCCCACCAACCTTATTAAAGATATATGTTGCAGCAGCATTGGAAAGATGGAATAGAAAGGTGCATAGGATGGGTATAGAGCTTAGCAATTAATGTATATATACACTCCAGTTTGCTGATGACCAGGTAACACTAGCGACCGACAGAAAAGACATGCAGTACATGCTTAGAAAACTAATAGAACAATATAACGACTGGGGAATGAATGTCAATACAACAAAAACCAAATATATTTGTATTGGAAACGAGTCAGATAACATAGACCTTGAAAACGGACAACATATTTCCTGCTGTCAGAGCTATGACTACTTGGGTGTTGCCTTTGACAATACAGGAACTGATACACGGGTAATAGAAAAACGAATCACTCAAGCAAAGAAAGTCTTAGGATATCTCAATGGTATACTGTGGAGTAAAGAGATAACAAAAGAAAGAAAATTTAATATATATGAGACCATGATTAAAACTATTTTATGGCGCTGAAACATGGAGAATTAGTAAAAAGAACAAAAAGCGAATAAAAGCAGTAGAGATGGATGCAATGAGATCTTAAATTATTTCCAGATGAGATGAGACCGAATCAGAAATGATGTAATAAAACAACGTACGGGAATAGAAGGAAATATAACTCAAGATATAGAAAAGAAACAATTAATGTGGTATGGGCATGTTCAACGGATGCCAGCAACCAGACTCCCCAAAAAAGTAGTAAAATGGCAACCGATAGGTCGACGGAAAAGAGGATGACCCAGATTAGAATGGCAACACGGCGTAAACAAGTCCATGAGCGAAAGAAATTTAACAACAAACGACTGCGAAGATAGGAAGAGATGGTGTTTAGGTATCGGACAACGTTGAAAGACGTTTTAAACCGATGTATATATATATATATATATATATATATATATATATATTTTAAAACATAAACTGGCAATTCTGAAAAGAAGCGGTGATAGTTACATTGGTAATCTAATGATCTCAAAATAATCTTACATTTTCACGGTTTTAGTTTGACAGCATTTCCGTAGCGTAGCAACATAATAAGGACGATAGAATGTCTACTAGTAAATATGTTGTCAAAATGAAATCAAATTTTCAGATTGGCCCTCGGACGACTTACAATCCCTCGGGTCAGAGGCCCTTGTGTTTGTAACATCGTCGCCCTCTAGGCATAAACATTTATTTAATACCCTTAGTACATAAATAACTATTATAAGTTTTTATCATAAGTAAATCAGATTTATTCAACGTTAACTAGTTCAGGATGGTAGGAAGACGTGAAGGAACATTGGAAAATGAAACAAACATCATTAGCAAAATGAAACCTATATTTACCCGATTCATTCGATAAATTCATTGTATTTATTGTTTAAATTATGCAAAACAATGTCTACAAGATTTTATGTTAAACCTTACCAAATGCATTTTCAGAGTCTACAAAACATAAGTATATGTCCCGAGTCATGTTCACACATCTTTGTGCCAGCACATTTAAACCAAACAGCGTATTTCTTGTGACCATCCCATTTATAATACCAAATTGTGTGTCACTAATTTCATACTCAAGAGTTAACAATTCGGCTGTGTATAATGTTTTTAAGTGTGTGATTCATTAAAGCTATTGTTCTGTGATCTAAGCAGATTGTTGGACTTGACTTTTTGGGAATTGTTAGAAAGGTCAATTGCAATCATTATCTAGGGAGAATGGCTTCATTTCATTTATGATATTACTATGGCCTGATCTAAAAATTACCTTGCTCAGGTTTCCTCGCAGACTATAATTTTTGTTAAGGCTGCTTAGGTGCTCCTTAGATCTCCTGTAATTCCAAGGCAAGCAAGTTTTGCCCCTTAATAATTTGAAGATGGCACTTTTTGTTACACCTTTGGCCATCATAACACTGATACGTATGCAATTGTTGGTTTTACCACCTCCTGGTTTTAAACCCCATCCCACATTTTTCTGTAAGTGCGTACCATTAACTTAGTGACCGCTCTTTTAGTTATTCGTTATATCTATAAATTTTAAGTAGTAATCATATCCAATATAAACCCAATGTACTTTACTTAACTTACCAAACTTAGATTTGTACCATTTTAAATTAGGGAAGCTAATCCTTTTAAATTCCCTCTTGGTATATTTCATGATTTTTGTCAAGATTTTTACTTATTAACTAAACAAAAATTTACACTTCATGTAAATCTACGAAATAAACTAAATTAATAAATATATTTTAATTAACATTGACAGTTATTTAATATACGTTACTTATCTAAGATTGTTTAAAAGTTTTACATTATTTATTAAAATAAATAGTACAGTTGATATTATATATTCGTATTTTTAGCAACATTTTCAGTCTCATTCGGCGCACGTAACTCCACACAACCACCCGCACACGTTCCCCCTCGACCGAGAACCTCTCAGGGAAATATCTCCTCCAGAGACCGCAAACATCAACCCCGTCAACGTAGCAGTCAATCCTGGAGTCAGGGATGCCAACCAAACACCTCTGAGTTTCGAGCAAGCCGTTGCTATGGGTAGGGGTGGAAGAGTACTCCCCAGTCCTTTACCTAACGGGTAAGTGTAAAAATACTACAATTCATATAGGTAAAGAAATAATAAATAAGTCTTACTCACATTCAATTTAATTTAACTATCCAGACGACCGGTTTCGCTTTCTACAACATGCAAAGCATCTTCAGGTCTCGATACAAGTTAAATAAATGCTGAAATAATAATAAACACATATTAGGGTGTTGTCTAATAAAGATAAACAAAGTAGATGTTATAAATTACAGTAATTATGCCAATATTACATGTCTGTGGTTTTTCAAAATGAATAAAAAGGAATAAAAAGGTATAAAAAGTTTTAACAGACAAGGTAAAACCCACAAATTGTTATAAAATAGTCTGTAATATTAGATTGTAACAAATTAATAAATGAGCAAATAAATAAAACATTACTTACATGCCGGTACTCTATTAATTGATTGTTGGTAGAACATGGTTGAAACTATCATGTATTGCTGAATGGAGAACTTAAGTCTGCTATTGTAGTTGTTTGACAATAAACGGGAAGTTCTTGAGGATATAGATTTGATCCAATAAAGTAGAGATAGGTGTAATGTGATTATTTGTTAGATAAAAGTGATGTTCTATACCATTGTATTATTTAAAAGTTATTTATACTTATTCAACAGATATATTTATGAAATGTGTGTTATTTATTGAGTATTTACTTTATGAAATAAATAAATTTCATAAAATAAAAACTTCTTATTATTATTTCAGCATTTATTTAACTTTGTATCGAGACCTGAAGATGCTCTGCATATTGTAGAAAGCGAAACCGGTCGTCTAGATAGTTAAATTAAATTGATTGTGAGTAAGTCTTATTTATTATTTCTTTACCTATTTGAAATGGACTCACACAAGCAACACATTCATAATTACAATTCATATTTGAACTTAGGGACCTCCTTTATTTACTGCAGTACCAACCTTCTAATCAACCCAAAATTTAAGTATTCTTGAGAATATTTTCTTGATGTATTTTCGGCACCAAGTTCGTTTGTGAACTTGTTACTGTAATGTGCGTTTAGCCTCGCTTAAGAATTTATCCAATATTTAACATAAGTCTTCTGCTATTAATATTTAATATGCTAAACTGCAATTTACACGAGAAATATATAACATATATAATAAAGGATGGCCTAAATAAGAGTAAAACTGATTGGAAATAAAACTAAGGTTATCAAAAGGACAATAATTCTGACGTCGCAATGGGCAGAGATTTCAAAAAACCTTTCCAAACATTTCTAATTTGTACCTGGCGAAATCGAATTCAAATTTTGACCACTGTGCTTTCTAGATCTAGATTTCTCTTTTTGTTATTAGATGGCGTAGTTAAGTCCGTATATAGTTATTTTATAACTATTGTCTAAGATGGGAATAGATTTTTTCGATCCGGAGGGGTAGCTGTGCCGCTCTGAAGAGATCTAAAGAGGTCGAAACACATATAATCGGCTTGCCGCCGCTCTGTATTGAAACAAAAATCTAGTAACGTCTTTATATTTTATTTCTAATTTGTGTGTATTTGTTTCATCTTCTTCTTCGGGTTCCTTCTCCTAGCGGAGGTTGGAAATCATCATCGCTATTTTAACTTTGTTGGCCGCATTTCTGAATAATTCTAATGAGCTGCAGCCGAACCACTCTCTCAAATTTCTTAGCCAGGACATTTTGCGTCGTCCTGGGTTTCTCTTCCCTTGTATCTTCCCTTGCATAATCAACCTCAGTAATACGTACTTCTCACCCCTCATTAAATGTCCCAGATATTGAATCTTTCTAATTTTAACAGTTTTTATGACTTCACATTCTTTCTTCATTCTTTGTAACACCTCTATATTAGTTACTTTTTCAATCCACGATATTTTATGCATTCTCCTGTAGCACCACATCTCAAAGGAGTTTAATTTTTTTGATTTCAGACTGCTTTATTGTCCACGCTTCCATGCCATATAGTAAAGTAGAGAAGACGTAACAACGTAGCATTCTTGTGCGAATCTCTAGATTAAGGTTACGGTTGCAAAGTAATTTCTTCAATTTTATGAACGTGTTTCTTGCCATTTCTATTCTAGATCTGATCTCCTTTACTTGATCTCCATCTTCGGTTAGCCACGTTCCTAAATATATATATGTTTTTACTCTTTCTATCGTTGTATTATTGATGATCAGGTTATTTACATTTTGTGGTTTTTTTTGAGAATATCATTGATTTCGTTTTCTTGAGATTCATTTGCAGTCCGTAACTTTCACATGCATTGTATACATGTTGTATTATGTACTGTAGATCTTCCATGTCACTTGCAAATATGACAGTATCGTCGGCATATCTAATATTATTAATGCTATTTCCGTTGACATAAATACCTTCCACGATATCCAATAAAGCCTCTTGAAAAATCACTTCACTGTAGACGTTGAATAAGAGTGGTGAAAGGATACACCCTTGTCGAACTCCTCTAAGTATACTTACTTCCTCTGTCAGTTTCCTTCGACTCTTACTCTTGCTTTCTGGTTTTGATACAGATTCGATATAATTTGTAGATCTCTACTATCAATGTTTTTAGTCTTAAGAATACTTAAAAGCTTCTCATGTTGAACTCTATCAAAAGCTTTCTTGAAATCTATAAAGCAAGCATATATGTCCTGATTCATATCCAGGCATCGTTGTGTCAGAACATGGACTCCAAATAATGCTTCTCTAGTTCCTAGACCCTTTATGAAACCCATCTGTGAATCACTTATTTCTTGTTCTAATTTCATGTGGATTCTGTTATGTATGATTTTAAGGAAGGTTTTCAATGTGTGGCTCATTAACGCAATTGTTCGATAGTGATTGCAATCTTTAGCATTTGTGATTTTTGGAATCGTCACAAAAGTTGAGAAAAGCCACTCTTTGGGTATGTGTCCCGTCTTGTATACGGAGTTAAAAAGGTCTACCAAGACATCAATATTATCTTCATTAATTATCTTCAATAGTTCAATTGGTATTTCATCGGGTCCTGGAGCTTTTCTGCCTTTTGTGTGTTTTATAGCATACATAACTTCCTCTTTCATTATTTCTAGTCCCGTGGTTTCTCCGTTAACTTCTAATAATTGTTCTACTTTTTGATCATAAAATAATTGTTCAATGTATTCTTTCCATCTACGTAGTTTGTCTTGCGTTTCAGTTATAGTGGTACCATCTGCATTTTTTAATATCCCGATTGGTTTGTTACGATTTCCTGAAATCATTTCTTTAACCTTCTTATGGGTGTTGAAAGTGTCATACCTTGCCTCACATTCCTCGATTTCTTGACATTTAATGGACATCCATGTTTCCTTAGCTTGTATTATTTTCTGTTTTATTTGTTTATTAATTTCTTGATATTTAATTTTATCTTTGTTTTTATGTGTTCTTCTTTCGTCCATCTTTTCGAGAATTTCTTGTGTCATCCATTCTTGTTTGGCAGCTTTTGTAAATGTTAAAGTTTTCCGTCCCACAGTCTCGATTGCGTTCTTTATATTCTTCCACTTTGTGTCAATATCTGTAGTGTTCTTATTTTGTTGTTTTATTTCTTGGATACTCTGATTTATTTTGTTTTGAGTTTCTTGGTATGTATTTGGTTCTCTTAACTTATCAATGCATATTTGTGGTCTAGATCTTTTCATTAATGGTTTTCTCAATCTTACATTCATATTTGCTACTACTGGGTTGTGGTTCGAGTTTACATCTGCTCAAGGGTAAGTCTTCACTACTGTAATAGAGTTCTTGTACCTGTTCCTTATCAAGATGTAATCTATCTGATTTCTTATGATTCTATCTTTGCTGTCTCCAGGAGCTTTCCACGTGTAGAGCCGGCGATTTGTTCCATAAGAATTTGTAAATATTGGTTTTTTAACTTTTTAAAGAATAAATAACGTGTTTTGGTTATGGTCCTTCCAATACCGGGTGTGTCGAATTCTCACCTCAGGTCTAACGTTTTTATTAATATCTGTAATTAAGTATAATCAATCGCTTTGACGGTTTAGGACATTGGTAGTTAATGTATTAAGAGCACAAAGAAGTGGTAAAATCCAAAATACCGCAAACAAAAAATTAAATATTCTCGTCGGATTTCGCGGAAATGTATGTAGGGCAAGAATTCGCCCCACGTGGTATCGAGTATTTTCACGTCTACAAATCTGATTTTATCAGTTTAGACAAAAGTTTTGGAAAATTATTACTAATAACTGTACTAATTACTTCTGGAGATAAGAGTACAGCCAGGGCAATTTATCCCTGCCTGTCGTAAGAAGCGACTAATTGGAAGGAAAAGAGAGCCGTCGTTCGAGCTGTCTAGTTTGTAGAAACGCACGCAGGGCGCTTCGGCGTTACGGTAACTGGTCTGCATACCTAGTATCTGAGACGAGTCTCTCGTGGGACCGCTCTAGTCTAATTCCACAGAACCAAGGTGAGGTTGAACGAGCTGCATCCCAGTGGTAAAGGAGAGCTCCTCATCGGCGACCTATCAAGCGTGCGAGGTCGATACGGGGAAGGTGAAATGGTTTTGGACTCGTAGGGGTTAGTGGCTAAGATAGCTAGTGGTCGTATGCCGAAAGGCTAGGTAGACCAGGATCCAGCTGATGCTTTGTCATCGGAGGGTATACGAATTCGTCAATGTACTAATTACTTGCCATGATGTGCAGTCTCATTCTTTACATATAAGCAGTTGATTTTAATGTGACTTCTTTATCTTTAAAATTCCATTCTTGCTATTACACAGTGGGCACTTTTATAATCTTCCTATTAGCATATTTTGTTTAGATTCTTCGAAGCATCACTTTCTAGTTGGGATTGTCTTTTTAAGAATTTTTAAAGTGCAATTAGGCCTAAATACGTCTGACGTCTGATCTTCTTCTTATGGTGCCCTATCCAATTAGTGGATGTTGGCGACAATTCTGGCATACTCCTCTCGATCTTGTGTGGCTCTAAAGAGTGCATGGGCATCGAGGTTTGTCCAATCAATTATGTTTTTAAGCCATGAGTATTTCTTTCTTTGGATGCCCGTTTTCCTCCCATCTTCCCTTTCATAATAAGCTTTAAGAATTGGTACTTGGAATTTGGAAATATATGACCCAGATAAGCAGTTTTTCCTCTTTTTATTATTGTATATTATTATATATTATTGGCAATTCCCGTTCTCCGCCTATTCACTTGTTTTGTTATCTGTCCAGGGAATTTTAAGTAATCTTCTAAATACCCACATTTCAAAGGCCTCCAATTGGTTCATCCCATTGGCCTTTATGGTCTAGGTTTCTACACCATATAACAGTACGGAGTAAAGGTAACATCTTACAAAGCGATATCAAAGCGTTTAGTTAAGGCTGCTGTTACTTAGCAAGGTTCTCATATTAGTAAATGCTGTTCTGGCTTGCTCAATCCTGCTACGTATCTCTATGTCTGGATCTAAATCTTCAATTATCTAACTACCGAGATATCTGAACTTGGGGATCTTTTGGATGTTCTTATTGTTAACTCTTATATTTAATAGCATATTTCGTGTTCTAATAACCACCATTACCTTGGTCTTGTCTATATTAATCTTCAAGCCCAAACGTTCTCCTTCAGTGTTTATTTTATCTATTAGTCGTTGTAGCGCTTCTTGGCTATTAGCTATTATGACTGTATCATGAGCATAGCGAAGATTACTAATAGTCTGTCTGTTGATTTTGACTCCGTCTTCAGTGTCACTTAAGGCTCTATCGAAAGTCGTTTTAGAGTAAAGATTAAAAAGGAGGAATGACAGAACACAACCCTGTCGTACACCTTTTTCGATTGAGAAATATGGTGTAGATTTCAGTCCTACTCTCACAGATGCCACTTATAAAGGTTCTTTATGATTTTAAGGTCATTCTTATCTATCGATCGTTCCTGGAGCAATCTTACTAATTTTGAATGATTAACACAATCGAACGCTTTCTGGTAATCTATAAAGCATGGGAAGACATATTTTTGCTGATTTCTGCATTTCTGAAGTAGGACAGTTAAGCTATAAAGTGCTTCTCTTGTGCCAAATCCTTGTCTTAAACCGAACTGTGTGAGGCTAATGCCTCTTTCACATCTGTTGTATATTTTTGTGTGAATTATCTTTAAGAAGAGTTTTAGGACCTGTCTCAATAAGCTGATCATTCGAAATTGGTCGCAACTATTAGGTAGTGTTTGACTTTTTTGGGATTGATATAAATGTTGATTAAAGCCAATCCTGTGGTATTTGACTGGACCCATAAATGTCATTAAAAATATCTACCAAGGCGCTTATATTGTCTTCACTTAGCATTGCTAGAACCTCGTCGTTCTAATCATCGTTAGAAGTGGTCCTACCTGGTACTGGTCGTTTTAAAATTCACCCGGTATTAGGAAGGTTAACTAAAGAGTATTTTTAACAAGTACTTGCCGTTGTAAACGTTAAGCACGATTTGATTTGAATTATGTGTGAGATGAATATAACCAGAATATTTTTCAGCTTCAGACTTGTCTTCTCTTCCTGAAATAGTATCAGGAATGTACAGGACATCGTCACTAATCATTTCTATATCAGTTATATTTATAGTTATTACACTGACTTCTGTTCTAAATGAACGACAAAAGAAGAGATGAAGATGAAGATGAAGACAAATGAACTTTCAAATACTTTCTTCTTATAGGAGCCCATTTAGTGATAATTTGTTATGAAGTGACTATTCGTTACAGCATTAAAGAAGTACAGATATTTTATGCTTGATATCGTCCCAGTCTTTTATTCTAGGGAATTCCATCCGATTATCTTGCATTGGATTGTACTTTATTAGTATTCTCCTTCTCTACAAGAAAACATTTGCTCGCAGCTGCGAATTCTCGAAGCAGTATCTAATCGACACTTCAGAAAGTTCAAAACAAATCGGAACTTCTCACGAATCTGCAAAAATATCCATATTTCTTTGAACATGTTAAATGCAAAAACACCAGATTTTTCTGTTGATGTTGATAAATGTTGATAAATTTCCGTATTCTTTGTAAGATTTAAAATTAAGGTCAAAATGTAGTTTAAAGCTGAAAAATTATATTATTAGTGTATTATTTAAACGGTGGATGCGATGAAAATTATGATTGAAATTTGGGCCAAGAAGACTGAAAGGGTCACATCTACTCGATGTGTGGAATGGATGCATAAGAATTTTGTATAAATGTTTTTTGTATAACTTAGCTTTGTTTAACGAAAAATAAGTCATCTAAATTTTTATATTCAAAAAATTGTATTGAAATCTCTCTTGTAACCAAATGATACATTGAATATATTGCACATTACCTAAATAAAAAGAGAGATATATGTATATTATATGTACACTGTATCGTTTTAAAAATTTTAGTATAATTAATAACATTTTATATTTATTTTTAAGGTACAAACCCAAACCAACGGGATCTGGCCACTCCGAATCAGACGAAGATGACTGGTGCTAGCATTTGCTTAATGCTCTATGAGAGTATATACTATTCAGTGTTTTTACATAAAAGAGACTTTAACAAATTACTATGATTATTACTACTATTATAATATTAGACTTAATCTGTTTTTAAATTTCTGTGTACAGCTGGGTCACGTTAGATTATTGTAAGGAAATAAGACATTTTTTATAGACAAATGTGTATATTTTTTAATCCCTTAACATCCATTTTTTGCAGTTTCTGTAGATTCTGATATAAGTGAACTATGAAGTTGCATTAAAAAAAATTAGAGCATAATCGTTAATATAGATAAGAAATAAAAGGAAATCGTTAAAATTAAAAATAGTAGAATTAATCAGACATTAATCATTAATAAGAAAGCTCAATTAAAATTAATTACTAATAAATAAATTAAATTAAAAAAAAAATTAAATAACAACGCTGCTGCAATTTTGGAATTTCTCATTAATTTACGGTCTATTTGAGTTTTGTCAGTGAGTCACCCTCTTCAATTGATTTTTGGACTTTTTTATAATAAACTACTACTATAGATACCTACTAGGTACTTGATGTACTAGAAATTTTGTAAAAAAAATTTTTCTTCTTCTTCTTCCTTCTTATATATAGGTTTTAAAGCATGTTTCTTCTTTAATATTATCCTTCTAGTTTGTTTAAATTATAATACCATATTTTTCTTGGTCTTCCAATACTTTTTCGTCAATTTGGTGACTTATCTCATGATATTCGTACTATCCTATCCTCTGCCATATGTTCTGTTTGTGTTTCTGTTTTGTCACCCATTTATGTCTTTAGATTGCATGCCCTTCTTATGTTTTCGCTTCTCTCCCTATCCAACAGACTTTTTTCTGATATTCGTCGAAGTATTTTCATCTCTTGTTTCTACTAGTCGTCTCGTTTTAGATGTGTCAGGTCTAGTTTCCGCCGTGTATGTTAATATAGTTCTAATTGATGCTTTATAGAGTCTTGTTTTTGTGTCTTGTCTTAGGTGTTTGTTCTTCCAGATTATGTCATTAAGAGATTTCGCAGCTTTAATTGCTTTTAAACTTTGTTGTCGTACTTCCTCTTCAACACCTCCGTAACTAGTTATATCTATAACCAGATATCTAAACCTTGGTTCCTGCTTTATTATTTTCCCGACAATTTCAATTTTGCATTCTTTTCTCTTCTTCTTCTTTTTATACAGACATGACTCTGTCTGTTTTTTAATGTACCTCCAGTAAGTTGTCATTCCATCGTTTTTGTTGTCTTCCTACTGATCGTCTTCCTATTGGGGAACCATCTCTTGCTGCCTCTACTCTTCTATTTTTTACCCAGTTTTTAATCTTCATCACCTTGCATCTATGTCGTATATCTTCACTTCTAGCTCTGTCCCATAGTGTCTTACCATCAATTTTTTCAAGTGTTTTCATCTCTGATGTTTGTAACATCCTTTTTGTCCTCTATGTCAGGTCTTGTTCCTGCGCGTCTGTCATTATTAATCTGATGACTGTTTTGTAAATTCTGTCTTTCAGTTTTTCCCGATATATTTATTTCTCTATATTGTTAGATTTAGGCAGCCTGTCTCTCTGTTTGCTCTATTCACTTGATCTTCCACTTCGGTTTCGAGCTTTCCGTAGCTAGATAATGTGATATTTAAACTCCATCACTTGTTCTATTATCCTTCCACCTCTAATCTACATCTCCAGTAAATTTGTTATTGTAACCATGCATTTAGTCTTTGTTGGGGAAATTAACATGTTAAATTTTCTGGCAGTTATATTAAATTGGTGCAGCATACGTTGTAAATCATCTTCACTTTGAGAGAGTAGCATTGCGTCGTGTGCATTGCAGATTATTTTAAGTTGTTTTCTCCCATTTGGTATCCTTTTTTAGTTCTTACTTTTTTTATTATTTCATCTATAATCAGGTTGAACAATAGATGACTCGGGGAATCTCCATGTCTTATCCCGTTGCCAGCTTCAATGAAGTTAGTTCTTCTTCTACTTTTACTTCTATTGTGTTGTTTTGGTACATATTTTCGATCGTTTTGATTATTCCTAGAGGTATCTCTCTTGCATACAGTAAGTGGATAACGTCTTTTAATTTAACCCGGTCAAATGCCTTTGTAAGGTCCACGAGACATAGATATGCCGGTTTGTTGTATTCTAATGATTTCTCTTGCGCTTACCTCATTATAAATAACGTGGGTGCATGATCTTCCTGATCTAAAACCTTGTTGTTCTTCTGCTAGTGTTATAATTTCATTCAATTTATTTGTTATTACTTTGATTGTTAATTTTGGTCTTGTGTTAAATAAATTAATTCATTTGTAATTTTCCAGGTCCGATGTGTCTCCCTTTTTAAAAAGAGGTATTAGAATGCTTGATTTCCATTCTTGAAGAATTCTGTTTTGTTCTAATATTTTTTGAATTAGTTTTAATAGTTATTAGGTTAGATCTGGTCCTCCGTACTTTAGGAGTTCGTTCGGTATTCTGTCCTCTCCTGGTGATTTTTAATTTTTTAATTTCCTTCCTAATGCTTCCTTTACCTCTTCTTCCTCAATATTTATTTTTTCGTTTGTCGTCACCTCTGGTGTTCGTGGTTCATCATCGTCACCTTTAGCAAATAGGGATCGACAGTAGTCTAAACATGTTTTCTTCTGAATGTGTTTTACTTTTATTAGTTCATTTATCTCTTTTCTTTGTCCTCTGATTATTCTCCATATTTTTTCTTGTGTTCTTTGGATATCTTGTTCCATCTGTTTTAAGAAACTCTGCCAGTGTTCCTTTTTTATTTGCCTAACTAAAGTATTTCTTTCATTTCTGATTCGTTTAGACCTATTGGTTGTATCTCTGTTGTGTTTTTTGTGTTCTGTATTGAAAAATTGCTTTCTTCTTTTCTTCACATTTTGTCTTCACTTCCTTGATGTTTGAACCCACAATAACTGTAGACTTTTTGTGATGTACCTCTATTTGACCTCACTGCATCCACTGTTGATTCAGATGTAAACGCTTTTGCTTGGATTTTACTGCTTTCACTTAGTCTACATGTTGTAATAGCCTTCGTAATGTCAGCTTGGATTCTTTTAGGAGACTTTCTTGTGTTTGTTTGTCTTTTATTCCAATAACAATTCTATCTCTAACCATGTCGTCCTGATCTTTATACTCAGTCATTTTCACTGCTTTCTTTAACTCAGTCACGAAACTATCAAAATGTTGCCCCTCTTTTTGGACAATGCTGTTGAACTTAAATCGCTCATAAATTACGTTAGACTTATGGGAGCAATACTCTTCAAATTTATCCAAGACATGTTGCAACTTTTTATTGTCTCCTTCTACATTAAATATGAAAGTTTTGAACAATTCTAATCCATCATCTCCCAGTAAGCTTAAGAATATGGCCAGTTTCTTTTTCTCAGTCTTATCTTCTAAATCGGTGGCGTCCATGTAGAGGTTAAATTTTTGAGATAACCTCCTCCAGTTTGCAGCCAAATTGCCATCATCTAATACAAGGGGTTCTGGGGGTTTAAATTGATTTTCCATTTTTCTTCTAGACACAACTCACTATTCGATTAAACCCCGGCCCGACCTGGCACCATGTAAGATATGACTTAAAATAAACATTAGATATTTTTAGTATAGCTGTTGATTCAAGAATACATAACACATGTGTATCAATAACTTCTAACTTAAGTGTTACGGCTACCACTGACAGGCGCCTAGATGACAACTGTCCTAACAGGTAATTGTCATTACCATCACCTTTTAGGACTTCAGCCACCTTTACATATGGCATTTATATAACACATATTACATATATCTCTGTTGGTTATAATATAATCTATCATAGATCTTTGTGGTCAAAAAAATTTGTTGTTTATTCTTAGTTCGTTATTCGTGCAGAAGTTGATCATCAGTTCTCCATTTTCGTTTTTAACATTCTCGTTTTTTTTTTGTTTGATGCCGGGTATTACTTGGTTGCTTATTCGAGCGTTAAAATCTCCCAATATTATCATCTTCCCTCTGATTTGATCTACTACTTGTTGTACTTGGTCGTAAAGCGCTTTCCTTGTTGTTTGAGGCTTATTATTTTCTTGTCCGTATACTTCGATGATGTTCAGATCCATTCTCATCTTCTCTGTTACTATTCTTTCTGATATGTATTAACACTCTTTGATGTGATTTTGGTACCTTTGGTGTATTATTAAGGCTACACCTTCTTTGGCCCTCGGGGATTAATACGGCGTGGTCTGCATAACATAATATTTGAATTTCTTTGTTCCCCTTTCTGTAACCATGACCTTTACGTACAGCTTGTATTATTTCGACCATTATTATATAACAAGTAGACTTAACGAGTCACGTTGTCTGACTCCGCTTTGTACTGGTATACACTGTGTTAGTTTTTCATTTATCTTTGCCTGTATTAGTAGGTGTAAGACGTCTTCGACTTGGATGTAATCGAAAGCCTTTATCAGTTCTATAAAATAGATATGCTGGTTTTTTGTACTCCATGGCCTTTTCTGTGATTTGTCTTAGTACAAATTACAGAAAAGTATTATTTGTCGTCTACGCAGGATCTTCCTGATCTGAATCCTTGTTGTTCATCTGATAAAGTTGTTAGTTTATTGATTTTGTTATTTAGAACTTCTGTGGTAAGCTTAAATACGGTGTTTCGTAGATTTATACCTCTATAATTGTTGGGATCGTCTTTATCTTTTTTCTTAAACATTGGTATCATTAGTCTGTTTCTCCATGCGTGCAATATGCAATCTTAGTTTTTATATATATTAGTTTTGTATGAGTAGTAGTAGTATGATATATTAGTTTTTATATAGGTTTTGACATCTCTAGGGTTACACTTTCTTCTTCGTGTTTTAGAAGCTCGTTCGTTATTTCGTCTGATTCTGATGACTTTCTATTTTTAAGTGAATTTATGGCTATCTCTACTTCCTAAAACCTGATTTCAATTTCGTATCTTAATTCAGGTACGTTATTGTGTGGATTATTATTTTCCTTTCCTTTAAACAATTCCGTCAGGTATCTTTCCCATTCATTTGCTGGTATTTGATTGTATTTCTTTAATTCTGCCATTTCTTTCCGTTGGTTTCTTATAAATCTTCATATTTGTTTTTGTGTACTGTAAAAGTCGCCTTCCATCCTTTTATCCCATCGTAAACTTTTCTCAGTGTTCATTTTTTGTTTTTCATATCAACTGCTTTGTTTCATTTTATATTCTTCAATAGGTGTCTCAGGAATCTGAAGTATTTAATGTTTTATACTTCGTATAGGCCTCTCGTTTCCCTTTACATTTCTCTTTTATTTCTTTTCTGAACCAAAATATATTGTTATTGTTTCTTTTGATCAGTATGACTTTGCGTTTTCCTAGAGCTTCTGTTGCTGCTTCTTCAATGTTGTTTTTAATTTTCTCCCAGCTCGCGTTTATATCTTCGATATTGTCTATTTGTTTCAGATGCACCTTCTGTGCTAGCCTCCGATGGTACATTTCTCTTGTAGAGTCGTGCCACAGTGGTTCTCCATCGAATTTTTCCTCGATAATTTCCCAGAAAAAATATTTTGGTGTTATTTTCATTTTCATTTTTTTAGTACTAGTTTGTGTTTACTCTCTGCGTCTGTTGAATTTAAAGATAGGATATCTAGAATCTGCTAAAAAGTATATTTCAAATAAAAAAGTCAAACTTTATATAAAAATTTAATTCGTAGGAAAATTATTACGTTCTAAAACAGCGAACTTAAAACTATTTAGATTTAGGCTTCGAAGGTTTTGATGCACCTGCTGAAGGAGTTTCTTCACTTTGGTACCAGTCTTCACTGTAAAACAAAAATCAATAATAAGTATATTTTATCCCAATTTCAAATACATTATAATTATTATAAATTATGATCAAATCTGCCCATTGCATCGCACTAATATATAACATAATATTTCTTTTAAAAATAACGGATAGTAATTTAAGACACATAACAGAGGACAATTGAGGAGTTTGCCATAAGAAGGATGCAGCTCCATATTTAGACCGTTTTGGGTGGAAACATATGCAATAATTAAAAAAAAAGCATCCAAAGAAGAAACGTACCTCTGTAAAAAAATACCACATTGAACCTGTTGTTAACATAGTGCCCAAGGAAGAGCCCCCAGCTGTTCCTGCAACCCCATACTCTGGAAAAGAAATGAAAAAAAGCTATTGTAGAAGGGAAAATGTTTACGAACTGGAAAGGAATACGAAAGGGACCGAGATTAACTGGATCGAATGGCAACTGCAGGTACAAGTGTTGTTAGAATGTGGACGAAGAAACAAGACAAGTTGTCTTACAAAATTTTAACAAAATAAGCGATAAAGATTTTTAAAATACCTATTTGGAAGGAATGATTTAAACCACTACTATTCAAAGAACTCGAAAAAAGACTACTGAAAGTCAAGACCGCACTTGTTCCCACAAATACCTTATAAAGCTGGGTAAGAAATCCAAACGAGTTTGTAGATATCTTTTTGGTTCAATTCACGGTATATCAAGGGAACGTGTTGATCTCATTGCTTAAACTTTTGGTGACAGAGATATTGCAGCGCCACCTAGTAACAAAGAAAAGCATACACATAGACCCAACCGAAAATCTAACGAAATGCTCAAAAATGTGAACATGCACATCCAGAGCGTTCCAGGTGCGTTCGCATGATAGCAGAAACAAATCCCGTTGATTGTATTTATCTCCAGATCTAAATGTAAAGAAGATGCATCAACTCTATTTGGAACTTTATGAAGCAGAAAGTGTTACCAATCCTAAATATAAAACCCAAAGTTCCCTATGACTTCTACTATCGATACCTCAAAGAAAACTTCAATTACAGGTTTGGCTCACCTCGATCAGATACGTGCAAAAAATGTGATGTCTTAAATAACAAACGCAAAAATGTGACCCTCGACGACATATACACGAAAACTTTTAACAGCGAAAAAGAAGTTGGATGAAATTAAGGCCGATTTGTTTTTCAAGGAGCTGAAGGAGAAAACCACACTGTGCAAGCATAGCGAGCAAAAGTGGGTTCTGACCTTTTACTTTTAAAAAACCTTCCATTTTCAAAAATTCCTGTTGGGGAAGCTTCCTACAAACTCCAGTTGTGGACATACAACTGCTGCGTCCATTCTGGTAAGACAAGTCAAGCACACTTTTATATGAATGATGAAACTACGGCTCGAAAGTCACCAAAAGAGGTACTGTTATTTCTGTACCACCATATAAAAAATATACTGCCTAAAAATGTTAAAGTTTTATACCTTTTCTCCGATAACGCTGTTGCGCAAAAAAAAACTCAGTAATGATTCAGTTTCTATATTTGCTGGTGAGAACTAGATCTATTGACAATTGACAAGATAGAGCACCGCTTTCCTGAGCCAGGACATAGCTTTCTTTCCTGTGATCGCTGCTTTGGACTTATTGAGAACTTTTAAGGAAGAAGGACTACGTTTTTTGCCCCAAACAATATGCTGATTTTGTTAAACAATCATCCAAACAGTTTACTTCCATTCTGGTAAAACAAAATATGATCCTAAACTTTAGTGGTCACTATGAAGGACATTTAAATAAGATGCAGAAAAGCAAAGATTTCAGATTTTCAAATACCAAATTTTCCGGTACAGCAATGAACATTTATATGGTAAAAAAGTCAGTATATCTACTGGCCTTCCGAGTTTTCACTTATTCCAAATCTTGAGAAACCTTGACAGCGACCTCTCAGTTTCTTCTAATATTCCTATCTATTGCAATCCCATGCCTGTCAAAAAAGCCAAATACGTAGATATAATGCAGCTGACAACACGATTTGTTCCTATGGACCAAATTGCTTTCTACACACGTCTCACAAATGATGCAGCCATAGCAAAGAACCAGAAAAACTAATAATCTGAAACGGATGATGACGAACAGATAGATTAATAAAGGATGTGTTTGTCCGTGTGTTTAATGTTTTATTTTTTTTTTCTGAATGCTATTTTTTTGACACCAACCTGTTTCTTTTTACAGATTTTTTCGTATTTGTGTAGTGGGCAAACCATAGTCGCTTGATTGTTGTAACCGAATAAAAGGGTATTTGTTAGGAATTTGTTTTTTATTTCAAATATAATGGTCAAGAAGCATTATTTCACGTGTTTGGTGCAAGAAAGATGCATGCCCAACTTTTTTCAATTTTTTTTCTTATTTTTTCAAAAATTATCTACTTGAAAATAGTCTCAAGTATGCACTAAATCTGTTTCTCATCGATTGATATTACGTCTTTTGGAATAAAATAAAAACTTTTATTAAAAAACAGTTTTTTTCAATTTGCTAACAATTACCAAATATACATAGTGCTGCATCCTTTTTACAACAAACTCCTCAATTCTACTAAGGTAAAATATAATATACGTAATACTCAAATGTAAATAATTACACATCAATTAGAAAACAATCCTAGAAAGGACTTCTAAAGCTCTGGAGATATTAAGAAATGCCGAAAGGTCTTAGGCTCGATGAAAAAAAAAATCCAAATCTGCACCTCTACGTAGTGGAATGCGGACATTTGGATGGCCAACGTAGATAGAAACCGAGTTATTGCCGATATAAGCAACCACCAACTTGCTGAACAACGGCTCTAGGAGGATGTGTTGGTAACCCCCAAGGAAGAAGAATTATTAAATAATTACCGACATAAGGATGCAGAACACAACGCAGAACCACTGTATTAAAGACTTATAGAGTACCCGTAGTCATATCATAGCAAATATTACAGGAAATACTACTACTGAATGGAAATCGGAGTCTTAGAAAATCCAGCAGTGGAAGAATATCACCAGATTACAAGGCTTTCTCGATAGTAACTATGAGTAATCTTTGTATGAAAAATAAAAAAAGAATACCTTTTTATGAAAGAAAAAATAAAATAAAAAAGAAAAGTCAAAAAAACAGCTCTCATCCTAATGAAAATGTAGCAGGTTTTGGTACTGAAGAAGTCAACAAAAAGTCACAGACATTACCTACAATTATACACAATACATATGCATAAACTCACTTTATACGAACAAATAAAACAAGAAACCACACAAAATAGTCAGAATGTAATATTCCAAAGGTAAAAACATCACCCTCAGATTTTTTTGTAAACCAAAAGAAAATTATAGCCCACAAGATCAAGACCAAATAAGTCAAATATTAATTTTGAAAAATATAACCTACAAACAACATCTTGTTGGTTATACGTTTTTCTGTCATTTTTAAAATATATGTATGGAGAGGTTTGGCTTCGAACTATGTTCATTAGCAACAGATCTTATTGATGAAATATTACTGACTTAAAATTATAATATTACTGACTTAATAAAATTAAAATGTATTGTAAAATACCTATTTTTAAATAGTATGTGCATATCAATTTTAGTGACTACCTCAAAATTTTTTAAACTATTCATGCTAAACATTTATTTTTGTTTTCCTGAGAAAATCAATCAAGAAATCGTATACTGATTGGTTGAATGAGACATTAAACATGATATATATGTATTAACTGGACCCAGAATGTGTAGTCTGTATAATTTGAATAATAACTCTCTGAAAGATTCCATGTATTTGGTACATTCGAAATATACGTGATTTAAGTCTCCCACTTAAGTTTTGCTACACTCACAATAAAGGCTTTAAAATACTCATATTTTAAATAGAAGGGCTGGAAAGCAACCAATATGAATTTCAATTCTAGTAATTGTGGAAGCATATGATTTGGAAGGAGAAAACGTTAGCTGGTGAATGCTATTGGATGCAGAGTTGAATGAATTGAGTAATCTTGACTGTTATGAACATTAATAAAGTTCATAACAATCAAATGAGTTCTTGCGATTTGGAGTCAGATAGAATAAAAGCCCTCTTAATTGGAATTTTTTCAAACCACTTAAGGGCTTTATTTATTGCTCAGTATTGGGCAGAAACCGAGGGCTAGGAATGGTAAACTTTTTTCAAATTTTTTTAGATCACAAAATTAACATTCCCAGCCAAATTTAGCTGGTTAGTTTGATTTTTAGAGGTTCAGCATCATTTTCGACACTGACAACTAGAGTATTACAATCAGTTGTCGCTTAACCCCATATAAACATATATTTTAATCATCACGCAAACAATACACTTTAAGTTACACTCCTGTTTAACCGGTAAATAATTACAAATATTTGAGAGCTATAAAATATAAACCGTTTCTTATCCATTTTTTACTGATGTCGCAATTAAGGTCCAAGCTTCCATTTCATAAAAGAAAGTTGAGCTAACGTAGCACATTGCCAACCTAACTGTTAGCTCCTTAAATTCTTTTAGCTCTTTAACTTTAAATTAGTTTAGGTAAAGTTAGCTCTTTATCTTTAAATCTCTTGTGCGGAGTACTCTTCTCATTTTGCTGAAATTTTGACATTGGTTTCGTTCATTACAATATTCTTATTATTTCATTTTGCGTTTTTGAGATTTATTTATAAATCGTATTTTTGTCCATACACCAATATTCTAGTCAACAGTCTGTGAAGATCTTTAATCTTTTTGGCTAAAAGAACAGCGTAATCTGCATATCTAATGTTATTATTGGGAACTCCATTGGTCTTTACTCTAGCTCTCTCAGCCTCAGAAGCATTTTTTAGGATCTTTTCCAACGAGGCATTAAAAAGAAAGCTACAAAATATGCACCCCTGTCTCATACCACAATTAAATTCAATTTCCTGTGGCATCTCTGCATTAAAGCATACATTTGCTCGCTGCTTATAGTATAAATTTCATATGACCCTGAGGTCATTAGCTCTGATATGATCCTGGGAAATAGCAATATTGATTGCAATCTACCAAGAAAAAAACGTTTTCAAATAAAGTTCTCGATACTATTAATCTATATATAAAAAGGGATAAAAACTAAACTGTAAAAATTTCTTACCATCCAGGAACATTTTCTGGAGAATCGCATCTCTGACTAACGTCATTGTATACTTCACCTACTTGGCATCCTAAATCTCTAGGCTCTACACCATTAAGGCACACGTAGAATCTTTGACAGTCTGTATTATGGGGGAATTTAGGATGAACTACTAGATTTCCATTGGCGTCCTTCTGAGTTTCTTTGGGGCAAGTGAAACCATCCTTAAGGGTGTCTAAAACAATCATATCAGATATAGTATCAATTATAATAACTGAAAACTGAATAATAAAACTTGTAAATAATTTACTAATTATTATTATGTCTATGTTTTTGTTTATTTTAAAAGGAATAAGTACTTACTTCCTTGAACGTTACACCCTTTCCTGTCAATTGTTTCAGGCCAGACACAGAGTCCGTTGTATTCATCGAATACGAGACCTGCCGTACAGGTCATTTCAGTGTTGTCACCTTGGATACAGTTGTAGAATTTATTACAAACAGCAGGATCTTCATGTGCAAAGAAACCGTTTAACCTGGGACAAACACCCTTTGGTTGAGGAGGTTCTAAGAACAGAACAAAAATAATATGTTATTTTTAAAAATACAAATATATAAATAAAAATACAAATAAAGTAGCTATTGTTTGTTGTATTGTAAAATAAAATCCGAAACAATCTTAAATTTTGAGAGCTTAAAACACCTGAAGCAGAATCAGAATACTTAGAGTTGAACAAAGAAATAAAGCAGAAATATAGAGGCACCAGTGAAGATATTTTAAACATACGACAAATTAAAGCAAAGGCCAGGGAATTTAACATGCCAACCTATTTATGCTACATTGCCAAAGCATTCGACTGAGTACGTTGGCTGCAACTATGGAGTATTCTCGAACAAATGGTTATATTCCATCAATTGATCTACCGAATAAAAAATCTGTACGACAATAATAGCGGCCAGGTGGAGGTGGAAAGTGAACTCACTGAGTGTTTTTTGTTTTGACAAGGGTGTGCGACAAGGTGCGTACTGAGCTCGATGCCTTCCAACGTATACGGCAAGTGGATTATGGGACATGATTTAAAGTACTGGGAGGAAGAAATGGCACAAAAATTAATAACCTATAAATACGCTGATGATACTCTCATCGCTAACATATAATATTAACCCATTTATGCCCAACGGGTCGTTAACGACCCATCTAACAACAAGATGTTCCAAGCAAATATGTCGAATTTGCCAGTCGCCGTTTCTTGACAAGTTTATTCCTGACTATGCAAGTAAGCAGTTTATTTAGTGCAAACTGTTTATTTTACTCGTAGTGGTTGTAGAGTGCACATCAAAATAGAACTCGAATAACGTTGGCAGCATGGATTCACTGAAAAATTTGTAAGTACAATTAAATAAATCATTTTATTATTTAAAGTCATTTTATCTAGTTAAGCACAAGTTGTGCTAACATATTATAATAATACTAGTATGAAAATAATTTGATATATGCCATAAATATAATGGTACATTTTAATGGGTCGTTAACGACCCGTTGGGCACATGACATATCATACTGAGAAAACGTTTTTTTAGTAAGAAACCACTATCTACTGCAGAAATTCTGGAGGAAATAGAAAGAATTGAAAATAATGAGGTTATACCGGATGACATATATATTTTGCCTCCAGATAATAACGGTTGGTTAACAGATTCGGATTCTGGAGATGAGGAATGTAATGATCGGGATAGACTAAATAGAGGTCAATTGAATGCCGGCGCTGAAGTACAATTTCAGAGGGATGAATAAGCCATAGAAAACGAAGTTCTTCAAGAAGTATCTGATTTTAATGTACAACATCCAACAAAGAAAATAAAGAAGACGCCATTAAAACATTATAAATTTACCAACATTACGTGCGGATTCCGATCTACCGAGATTAGCAGTCTTAACACTCACTTCTGACAGTAATCCAGTTGAATTTTTTGAATTGTTTATGAGCAGAAAAATAATAGAGTATTTAGTTAAAGAAACAACAAATTATGCTGCCTCGAAAAATCATAATATTTCAATAGAAGTTGAAGAATTTTATGTATTCTTGGGAATTTTAATTTTAAGTGGTTACGTTCCATTACCAAGGCGAAGAATGTATTGGGAAAACTGTGATGATACATATAATATTTTAGTAACGAAATCTATGAGACGCAATAGATTTGAAGAGATATTTAGATTTTTTTACGCTGCTGACAACAACCACCTGTCAAAAAATGATAAATTGGCCAAGATTAGACCTTTCATTGAAAAATTAAATAAAAAGTTTTTAACGTTTGCACCCATTGAAAATCAAATTTCTGTCGACGAATCTATGATTCCTTACTTTGGTCGTAATGGCTGCAAACAATTTATTCGCGGCAAACCAATAAGATTTGGCTATAAAGCATGGATAATGGGTTTATCAAATGGATATTGCCTAAATTTTAACATATATCAAGGCCGAAAATTAGCTACTAGTGTTGATAAAAATTGTGGATTAGGAGAAAGTGTGGTCTTGAACTTTGCAGAGATTTTGCAAAATACATATAAAAATATAAAATTTTCCTTATATTTCGATAAGTTTTTTACAATCATGTCTTTGCTATCATAACTTGGAGAAATGGGATTTAGTGGCACTGGAACTGTACGCGAAAACAGAACAGAAAAGTGTCCTTTAGAAGATAAAAAAATATGATAAAAAAGCCAAGAGGGTATTATTGTAGCTCTTTTGAAGGGAGCGCTAAAATTGCGGCTGTCAAATGTAAAGATAATAATGTTGTCACTATATTATCCAATGAGCTTGGAACTGAGTCAATACAAAAAGCAAGCCGATATTTAGCAAAAGAAAAACTAAAAATCCAAATAGATCAACCATTTGTAATTTCGCCATATAATAAATATATGGGTGGAGTTGACTTGATGGACAACATTTCAAACTATAAAATAAATATACGTGGAAAAAAATGGTACTTTCCGATATGGCTATGGATGCTGGATGTTTGTGTTACTAATGCTTGGACACTAGCACGACAATTTATATACAAAAATGACTTTAAAAACTTAGAATTTAGAAGACATATAGTACGTACATTATTATCTAATTATGGAAAGTCACCCCGTTCCATTGGACCACAAAATATTGCAATAATTCCTACACCATCCTCATCAACACAGCATCTAATTATTACTAGTGCTCAAAGAAGACGATGTCGCATATGTTCAAACAAAACAACAAAAGCATGCGACAGATGTGAAATTCCACTCCACGATAAATGCTTCAAATATTCAAATATCATACAGATTGTTTTAAGACTTAAGTAATATAATTAAACTATGCCTGCTTTATTGTTTTCATTTTAGGGAGTAAATATTTAATTTGTTGAAAGAAAATAAAATAAAATGTAATTGCATAAAAGTTACTATTAGTATTATTTTGTACCCCTATATGCCCAACGGGTCGTTAATGACCCATCATGTTTTTCAAAAACCAGTTTTTGAAAAATTTTTTTAGTAATTTTTTAATATATTTAAGGGTATTTTATTATATTTTTGAAAAAATCATTGAGATATTTTGACAAAAATAGTTGTGGGCATAAATGGGTTAAGAGTGTCTTGGACTAAAAAAAGAACTAATTTATTTCCTCCAACACATTCAAATAAAGAAAGGACGTTATTGGAAGAAATGGTTTATGGAATACTTACAGTGTCCTATCATCCTCAATACATCCTTAATACATATAGTCCAAGACAAAAGAAGTCGACTAAGATATACAGATCTTACTACGAAACTCACAGGCAAGATTACTACAATCAATAAAAATAGCGAACGATTAAGACAGATGAAAACTGACGGTACAACAGATTTCACGAAAACACGATACCTTATTTCCTGAACAACTCTGAAAGAAATGCTTTATTTAAAAATTGCATGTTTGTCTGCGTGCTTGATTGTAATTGGTTGGAATTCACGCCTTTATTAGTGTGAAGAGTTATTCTATAGACATCGAGTATATTTGCTAATAAATTAATCTTAGTCTCACCAACTATATAATTATGAATTATTTTATAACCTTTTAATTACGAAAGTAGTTTAAGTTGTACTTATACTTACGTAATTGATCTCTATCTCCACACTCAACATTAAATGGTTGATCACATTTATTTCGTTTTCTAATTTCTGGATCGAACACTAAACCATCTGGACATAATTTTGCTTTGGCTATTCCATCCTCACATTCATAAAATTTATCACATTGAATGGGGTCTGGGTATTGGCCGTCTTTTGGAGGACATTTAAATTGTGCATCTAAAAGAAAAAAAGAATATATTATATACATGTTACGAGTAACGTACTGAACAAACAATTTTATATGCACTTTTTACTGAATATTTTACCATTACAACTATACCATACTTTAATTACAATTAAAAGTTACAAATCAGTAAACTGAAAAATCGAATGGTTGAGAAAAATAAAACTTTTTATGCCAGAAGGATATTATTGAATCAACTTTTTCGTCACGCATTTCCCTGTATCGTGTCTTGTTCATATAAACCTTTCTTCCTTTAGTTCTCTACCACACAGTGCTTTCATTTTTTCTCGATTCTCTTTTCCTTTCTTTACCGCAACTTGTAGCAGTTTTATCTTTCCCCCTATTTAGTGTCCCATTTTCCGTTATGCAGGAGCTAAGGTATTTAAATTTTTCAACTTTGCCTAGTTTTTCCCAATCAATTCGATATCCTCAACCATTCTTATTCCTTTCAACCACATATACTCTCTTTAAAACCTATTAACTGTAAGTCCTTTATATTCCATACCCCTTCTTCAACCTTCCAAACTTCTCTACGACATTTCTTTGCTCTCCTTTACTAACACGGTATCATCCGATGTAATATCGACACCTGATATGAATATCATTGTAACTCTACTTACAATGTTTTTCAACTATGGATTAAATAACATATATATATATATATATATATATATATATATATATATATATATATATATGTATATATAGGATAACCTTTATTTTTGGTCTAATAACTTTTATCTTATCTCATGTAAATATGAAGTTATTTAACAAAATATCCTCATTGTAAACATATCATTTACGACCAAACTAACTTTTACCGATAAAAAGAAGGTACCAAATGTTCACAGTGCATTACATACCCAAGATACATCGACAACTTACCTACATGTACCAAAGATTCATATTCATTCAATACGTGTTAAGAAAAAACAATATTCAAAGATGAAACATTTGAAAAGGGAGAGACAAAGGGATCCCCCCAAAGTTTTGAGTACGTTCAAATCAAATGAATTTTGTGGCATCATTAGTTTAACACAATATTTTTTAAAAATTTTTGCCTCTTATCACTTATCGAGTTGTTATCAAGTTACGGTCCTTTTCATGACCTTTAAAAAATGACGTGCAACTCAATAAATGGCTTAAATGAATTATATATACATCGGTTTAGAACGTCTTTCGACGTTGTCCGATACCTAAACACCATCTCTTCCTATCTTCGTAGTCGTTTGTTGTTAAATTTATTTCGCTTGACTGGACTTGTTTACGCCGTGTTGCCATTCTAATCTGGGTCTTCCTCTTTTCCGTCGACCTATCGGTTGCCATTCTACTACTTTTTTGGGAGTCTTGTTGCTGGCATCCGTTGAACATGCCCATACCACCTTAATTGTTTCTTCTTTATATCTTGAGTTATATTTACTTCTATTCCCATACGTTGTTTTATTACATCATTTCTGATTCGGTCTCGTCTGGAAATAACTAAAGATCTTCTCATTGCATCCATCTCTATTGCTTTTATTCGCTTTATGTTCTTTTCACTAATTCTCCATGTTCCAGCCCCATAAAGAAGAGTAGTTTTAATCATGGTCTTATATATATTAAATTTTCTTCCTTTCGTGATCTCTTTACTCCACAGTATACTATTGAGACATCCCAAGATTTTCTTTGCTTGAGTGATTTGTTTTTCTATTTCTCGTGATCAGTTCCTGTATTGACAAAGGCAACACCCAAGTAGTCATAGCTCTGACAGCAGGAAATATGTTGTCCGTTTTCGAGGTCTATGTTATATGACTCGTTTCCAATACAAAAATATTTGGTTTTTGTTGTATTGATATTTATTCCCCAGTCGTTATATTCTTCTATCAGTTTTCTAAGCATGTACTGCATGTCTTTCCTGTCGGTCGCTAGTACTACCTGGTCATCAGCAAACTGGAGTGTATAATATACATTCATTGCGAAGCGCTATACCCATCCTATGCATCTTTCTTTTCCATCTTCCCAATGCTGCTGCAACATATATCTTGAATAAGGTTGGTGAGATACAGCATCCCTGTCGCAAGCCTTTTGTAACCAGGAATTCTTCCGTTGGAGGAAGAATTTTTCCTGTTTTTATCTGTGCCTTTAAGTCTCTATATAGTTCTTGTACAGCATTTATCAATGTGTGGTTGATGTTAGATCTTTTCAACGTTGTCCACAATTTTGTTAAGGGGATGTTGTCATATGCTTTTTGCAGGTCTACAAAAGTAATATGAGTTTCTAGATTCTTAGCCGATCTTTTTTCTATTATTTGTTAAAGACAAAATACGTTATCGGTGCACGATCTTCCTGCACGGAACCCGCTTTTTTCTTCCTCTTCATTGTGTTTATATTCTTCCTCGATCATATTTCTCAAAATTCGTCCATACAGTCTGCTCAAGGTGCTGGTTACCGATATGCCTCTATAATTATTACAATTTTTTTGTCCCCCTTTTTACATGTATGCCGTTCTCCATTGTTCTGGTACTGGGTGTCCATTTAGCCACTGATTGATCACATAAGTTAAGTTTTCAAATAGTTTATGAGTTCCATTCTTAGGCATTCCAGCATAGATTCCCTCAGGTCCAACGGATTTACCATTCTTTAGGGTCATTACAGCCTTCCTTACTGTTTCGATGTCTACCCTCGCTTCCTCTCCTTGTATATGTACTGACTGTGTTGGGGAGTTCGCTGGGTATTCTTGTTTTATCTCTGTCAGCAAGCTTTCATAGTGATCTTTTCATTGTCTTGGTTTTATGATGTGTATGCGTGCTTTGTCTTGTCCTGTATTTTTTACTGATTGTATAAAATGCATTTTAGATGCTGTTTTTTTTCTGTTTTACCATATATTCGATTTCTTCGTTCCACTATATTTTGTTACTTATTTTATTTTGCTGTGTCCCGATTGTCTCCTTAGAGGCCTGGTGTAAACTAACAATAATATTCTCGTAAATATCTGAAAATGTTTGTCTCTCTATTTCTCGTAGTTTTTCATTCAGTCGTCGTTGGTATATCTATTTAGTACTATTATTTATAAAACTATTGAAGTTGTACTTCGAAGTGTGCACTATCTGCAAGTCTTGCTTGTGATATCCCGTTATACTATTGAAGTCTCCAAGCATAATTATTTCTCTGTTTTTTCCTATGTAGTTAAGCATATTCTCGATTTTTTGAAAGAAATCTTCTTTCACGTTGATTGTTGCATCATCAGAGGGGGCATAAGCGGCTATCATGGTAATCTTGTGCCCATATATGTCTATATTTACTCTCAGGATATTCTCATCAATTGTTTCCCAGTCTGTGATAATATTCTTAAGTTTTTTCTATATTAGTATTGATACTCCCCTAGCGGCTCTTTTATCTTTCGGGACTCCAGTGAATATATGTAAATTATTACTATTATTATCTAAAATTTTTAAATTTTTTAAATAATATTTAATTAATATATTTTATTTTATTTTTAATTTGTCTAGCTCATACATTGTGCCTTGTAAAAAATGCAATAAAGTGCGTTAGATAATAAAATATTAAGTTTTAAAAAAAATAAGTACACTTCATTAATGATTTTGCTGGGACTGTACAATATTGCAATGGCAATATTGCCATTTACACCCACAAGTAAAAACAATTATAATATTAGTACTATTTTGACTGAAATATAGCGATGTCATTGCTACCCACCACTAAATGGATTCGTTGATGCATAGAAATTAATTACTTATATGTTTTTATTTGTTGCACAGTATCGTTTGTTGCTTTCTAACGATCTACGATTACATAACAACAGTAGGCATGTCACACTTGGATCGCCCCGTCGAATTCTTTACTAAAAATCATGCATAAAGTTACTGCAGACATTTAGATTTGTAGAATTCATTGTGATTCAGCAAGAAGTTGTCTGGGTAATGCTAAATGTCAAAGAAATGTTTGGACTCTTAATTAACGCTAAAAGTTTCTTGTACAAATCAGTTGCATAACCGTGACATTCTTCACATCCTTTTACTATGAGATGTCGTGACATGATTGAATTAAGAAAAAATATGCAGATATAACTGTGATTTTAATGTTAGGATCGGTATATTACGTTACCTTGAAAGTTTTTTACTGCTTACGATTAATTTTAATACAAATTAAAAATCTTTCGATTCCAACGTGAAGATCACAGAAATGATGAAATGTTTTGATTGATAATATAGTAATAAAATAAACTTTTGGAGATGCTCTAGAGAGCTTATAGAAATATAGATCATATTATTGGAACGTAACTTAAAGTAGTGTTTAGAGTAATTGTACATTTTAATTTATTCTCAAACATGCGTTCATTTTTATTCGTTTAATGGTATGGATTTGAGTCTATTTTTCTTATTTTTTATATTTGAAGATGTGCCCCAACTGTGGTAGTAATTTCATCCCACAGTTTTCTGTCGCTACATTTATTTCTTTAGTACAGTATTACCATTAATTTTATGTCATCTCTTTATTTGCTTTTCGACCTTCGTTTGTGTTTTTGTCTAATATTTTTCCAGCTCTGACTTTATGTATTTTACTACGTTTACTCTATGTAATGCTTCCTCTATATTTTTTTATGTTTTTGATTTTATTTATCATTATTGCTTTTGTTTTCTATTTTTTAGTAGTGTTTAATTATTCTCTGGTTTCACTCAAGATGTTTTTTTTTACTTTTTTACTTCCAAAACCAACAAAAGACGGCGTATTTTTTATGAATCTGACAGTTGCCTACGACACAGTCTGAAATACGGGACTTTTATATGAGCTGACTAAATTAATTTTATGCTAAAGAACATTGAAACTAATAAACAATATGCTTTCTGATCGATTCTTCCAGGTAATCAAGGTAATGGCATAAGCAAACAGAGGAACTTAAATACTGAACTACCTCAAGAATCAGTACTTGCCTTTTCAGCTAGACATAGGTAATATACATTGAGGTAAGTGTAGTAACTGCGCTATCTCGAGT